ATTTTTTGTATGTAAATGGCAATCGTATATGCGTGTTTGGAGTTGTTGGGTAGTAGGTTTTCTTGGCTAGTTGTGCCATTGGATATGTATGAGTATAAATATGTTGCCACGGAAGATCAAATTGTTTTTTTAAGGACGGAAGATCAAATTGTAATTTGATTAAACAAATCAATGTATTATGAACACCAAGCAATTTTTAAAATACCGATATAGATGGAAATATCGATATGCAAATTTATACAAATATCGATATCGGTTGTTTTCTACGTAAATTTTGCAATGAGTGGCTATATTAACTCATTTAGATTTAATCGAAATTAGTGAAAACTTTCTCAAAAAATTCAAAAGTTCGAAATCTCCAATGCATTTCAACAAATTTTCTGTAGTGAATCGGTAAATATCATCGATATTCATTGATTTTCCTATATCTCACCGATATAAGATGAAGTTTGCATTTTGCCCCCTTTTCATATCGATCCTTAATTTTTTGGATATTTAAACGAAAATATTGGCAATTTCGTGGATATTTCAAACATTAACACCAAGAAAAAGTTTAGGTAGCTAGAGAATAGAAGATCATGTTTCCCTTCTATCTTTCAAATTTTGGTTTCTAGATTGGAATTTAGTAGGTCTTTTTTCACAACTAAGCCTCTCAAACCTCCTCTTTAGAATCAAAACACCTAAAATCCTGGTTTTGAAAAGAAAAAAACCAACTGTTATTGCACTTGACTACTATTACACTACACATGAAGGACTTTCTTCTATTGTAGTTTGATCTCTTTAAAGTTTTTCACTAGTATTATTAGTTGTCACGTGGACGATATATATTAATTAAGTAAATTTTATTGTGAGTGGTTAGTACTTGGAGATGTCTATAATCTATACAACAAATAGTTGGATGTTCACCTAAACTTGAAACGTGGGTTTGAATACTCTAATACAGTTGTATGTTTCTTTGTTTTATATATTTAAAGGCAATTAAATTGACATTATTGCTTGATTAAGTTGACCAAATAGAATTATTTTTTTCCCAATTATATAAGCAAACTAAATGTATAACTTGTTTTACAAGACATCCTTGTAAAACACGCAACTTGCAATTTGTACATAAGTTGTAACATTAAGTAATTAACTGGACACTATTATGTCTAGGGGAATGGCAACCAAGCTGCTCATAAGGTTGCTTCGTATGCCACTGCGCATGGTGGCACCTTTTTATGGGATGCTATTGGATCGGAATTTCTTTTCAATACTCCTTGTATGCCACAATGCATGGTGACACCTTTTTATTGCATTCTTTTATTTAAAATATCGGCAGCACGATGAAATTTTATTGATATGAAAAGAAAAAAAAAAAGTTACACCTAACCATAATGACATAAATACATTTTTGCTCCTCTCAAAAAAGAAAATACAAGAAAAAAAGGGGAGGATAAAACCAAACCCCTCTAAAATAAAACCTTAAAGATAAAGATCATGCAACATAAGCTGCAAAACAAAAAGAAAATGTAAAAGATTTATGGTTAACTCTTGTTCTTGGTACGTGATTTTCTTGTTGCATTCATGGTCAATGAAAATTTGATTCAACTCTACAAACTTGACGCTCAAGAAACCAATAATAAACATTCATTTGTATCCACAGCCGATGATGGCGGCCACTTATGATCACCGCCGGACTTCTCATAGTCGTGGCAAGATAGGATCACACGGTTGCGACGGAGGAAGCTAACATGGGAATAGGTCCAAAAAACCACAGCAGAAAATTGAGAGCAAAGTAGAGTGCTCTAAGCCCAAGTGACCAAAACTGAACAGCTCCCTCGGCTTTTTTCACGTCGCTTTTCGCGGTAGCTCCCGGGGTGGCTAAAAGGTAGTTTGAGTGGACAAAGTGCCGAGCTGTTTGAACAAAGCATGAAAAAGCAAGGAGAAAACATGTCAAGATGCAAATGTACTTGATAGAAACAGTCACTGGGTCTGTGTTGCCATATATTATTTGGCTTGGCAAGAAGTTATTGGCTGAGTTTGCCATCCAAGCTCCGATGAGAGAGCAGAGAGTTAGAGAGATTGATGCTAAGATTGTAGTTGCACTTGTATTGGAGGAAATCACATCAAGAGCTGTTTAACTTTCGTTGCAACTTCAACATCGTCACCCTACAGGAACAAATAGTGAACAAATTAACACAGAACTTGCAATTGCAAGGGCTGGTAGCTCAACTGGTTAACAGCATTCGCACCTGCACTCGGGAGTAGTATATATAAACGAACTGCAAATATTTTGGGGGATATTAAAGAAGATATGGAACTTACCCGCAAAACTTTTCCAACCCAAATTTTCTTGTCAATGTTTTCGGACCCAATAGCGGTGGAGAGAGGCTGATTGAGGTATTTGTAGAGGAGGAAGAGGTGGTAGATTAGCATGATCAAGAGCCCCAACGGGACCAGCACTACATCTAAGTACTCCTTCTGAAAAACCATAGCTTCTAATCTCCTGGTGCTAAAATGGCAATGCAGTTGAGATCTGGAGGGGGTCTTCTTCTGTTTATAATGGAGCTGCCCTGCCCATGATTCTTGGGTTTTTTCGGGATTGGTTAAACAACGTAATCTTTGATTCGCTTTCTATGGGCTGAAAATTAGAGCTTGCTTCAGTTTCCATTTTAGATGCAGCTAATAGTTGACATGGAAAGCTGTTGTCGAAACTGAAAGCAAGTAATAATCTTCAAACACAAAATTAAAAGTGGAGACTCCCACATGCTGGTTATTCTCTGCAAGTTCTGATTTGCAGCCAAATCTTATTCCACGAATCATGGATTGGAGTGGACCGAACAGGAAAGGATGGAACAATCCTTTATAGGATCATCTCCAACCCTTAGGCTAAAACCTAAAATTTTTAGCTCATGAAATTTAGGTTTTAGCCCTGAAACAGCTTTTCTGTTTAACTCTTGTGGTTTAAATTTTTTAGCCTGATATTATTAAAGAATAAATTTAGGCTAATTTTTTTCTTTTAAAGTAATTTAAAAAAAACTTATGTACACTATCATAATTTAATTTTATGAACATTTTATCCTAAAAATATTTAAATTCCGATAAATATTGAAAAATCACTAAATTTGGCTGAATTTTGAGTTAAATAATTTTTTTAATTATTTTAGCCGTTGGATTTAAATTTTGCCCTCTTTGTTTTACCGTTAAATTTGATTATTCGATTTCAACCGTTAGATTCAATAAATCCTAGTAGACATGCCCATGTGGGTGGGGTCCCTAGTGGTGCCCACACCATTTTCTGGGCTAAATCCTGGAGATGAATTTGGCTTTTATTTGGCTTTTAGCTTTTAGCCCACATATTTAGCATGAGTTGGGTTGAATTTGGGAGGGAATAAAACCTAAAAAATAACATTTAGCTGGGTTTGGTCTATACAGAAGAAGAAAACCCCTTTACTCTGCCATTTTTAGCAACAAGAGATTGGAAGACTATGGACTTTCACAAGTTTCAGAAGGAGCACTTAGATGCGGTGTTTGTCCCACCTGGAGTGCTAATGATGCTGATTTACCACCTCCTTCTCCTCCGTAAGTACCTCATGCAGCCTCTCTCCACCGCCATCGGATACGAAAACAAGGACAAAAAAGAATTGGGTTGGCAAACTTCTGCAAGTAAGTACCATGCCTCTTTTTATATACAAGCGATATTTGGGGTTTGAAGTTCGAACATAAGACCTTGACTGCAACGGTAAATGCTCTTAACCCTAATTTATTTACTTTTGATGGCTGCAGGACCAAGATGTTACAAAGAATGTTTTTAACAGCTCCTGCTGTGATTTCCTCCAACATAACTGCAACTATAAACTTGGCATCAATCTCTCTAACTCTGTGCTCGCTCATTGAAGCTTGGATGGCAAACTCCACAAACAACTTCGTCCCAAGAGAAATACTACATGGAAACACACACCGATCAATTATTTCTATCAAATACATCTGCCTCTTTACATGCTTGCTCCTTGCTTTTTCATGCTTTGTTCAACTAGGCACTTCGTCCATTCAACTACCTGTTAAGCACTGTAGGAGCTACTATGAGGATCGATGTGAAAAAAGCCAAGAGAGCAGTTCAAAGGGGAAGTGAGTTTTGGTCACTTGGGCTTAGAGCACTCTATTTTGTTCTCAATTTTCTGCTATGGTTTTTCAGAGCTATACCGATGCTTGCTTCCTCTAGTGTAACGGTTCTGATCCTAAGTTGCCACGAATTCAAGAAGCCAGATACGAATCAGCTAGTCTTCGCTCTTTAAATGAAGTGTATTATTCATTTCTTGAGCATGAATTTTGTACAGCTAAAATCATATATTCTTCTTCCTTGTTGGACATATTTGTCTTGTCAGTTGTAGTTTCCAGCAAGTAATAAACAATCGTATTCATGTTAGAAATTGCAATCCCTTACTGCGTGAGAGTGAGAGGTAGTATAAGGACAGTCTATTATGCTTGATATGTCACCGAAACGGCAAGGCCGGCTTGTACAACATATGCAAGCAAGTTGGACCTGACAATTTAGTTTAGCAGCACCCAATCTTCGGTCTGTGTTGAGAGAGGTCCGAAGTTCAAATTTCACAAACGATAAGTGTTAACAAAAGAAACTTTTGTAAGCACATTGTGTTTGGAGCTTATGCAAGAGGAATTCCATGAGTGCTTTAAACAAATCCAAGCACATGGACTCTTCAACTAATATATTTGAGTAAAAGGGTCTTCTTTGTCCGTTAATAAAAAAAACTGTCCCGAAATTTCCTGTCTGGTTCGATCCATGTGAGTATCCATTTTTGCAACAGCTTTCAAAGTCAACTACTGGCTGCATATAACTTGGAAACTGAAGTAATTTAAGTTATAGTTTCAGCCAATAGAAAGCAAGTCGAAGTTTACGTTGTTAAAAGAAATCTCGAAATATCCCATGAATCATGGGCAGGACAGCTTATAAACACAAGAAGTCTCCTCTACTGCATTGTAATTTTTAGCACCAAGAGATTGGAAGCTATGGCTTTTCTGCATTTTCTGGAGGAGTACTTAGACGTGGTGTTGGTCCCAACCGGGATCTTGATCATGCTAATCTACCACCTCTTCCTCCTCTACAAATACATCAATCACCCTCTCGCCACCGCTATTGGATCTGAAAACAACGACAAGAAAACTTGGGTTGGAAAAATCTTGCATGTAAGTTCCACATCCTCTTTAATTTCCCAAAAGTTGGTGACATTGTTTTTATACTACGGATGTTGGTAAGGGGAGAATCAGACACATGATCTCGAGTGCAGGGGTAAATGCTGCTAACCAGTTGAGCTACAAGTTCCATGTTAATTTGTTCGCTATTGGTTGCCGCAGGGTAAAGATGTCGAAGTTGCAAAGAAAGTTAAAACAGCTATTGATGTGATTTCCTCCAATACAAGTGCAACTACGACCTTAGCATCAATCTCTCTAACTCTCTGCTCTCTCATCGGAGCTTGGATGGCAAACTCCAACAACTTCTTCCCAAAAGCAATAATATATGGCAACACAAACCCTACAACTATTTCCATCAAGTACATCTGCCTCTTGACATGCTTTCTCCTTGCTTTTTCATGCTTTGTTCAATCGGCCAGGCACTTTGTCCACTCAAACTACCTGTTAACCACGCCAGGAGCTACTGCCGAAAGCGACGTGAAGAAAGCCAAGAAAGCAGTTCAAAGGGGAAGTGAGTTTTGGTCATTGGGTCTTCGAGCACTCTACTTTGCTCTCAATTTTCTGTTGTGGTTTTTTGGACCAATTCCCATGTTTGCTTCGTCTGTCGTAACAGTCGTGATCCTATCATGCCACGACTTTAAGAAGTCGTGCGGCGACCAAAAGTGGCCGGCGTCGGCCAAGGCTAGGAGTGAACATTTATTATCGTTTTCTTGAGCGTAAATTTTGTGGAGTTGAATCAAAATTTCATTGATCATGAATGCAATAATGTTAGTCCTACTACTCGTGTTCATTGAAAGTCACTGTGCATGTAACATGACGTATATACCGGTGTTTTGACAAGGATGTGCACATTGAAAGTTATATCAAAACAAGTTGTACATTAGTTTGACCACTACAGAGTGCTCTAGTGGGTGGGGACCTAGGTCTGTAATCTACACAACACGTTATGAGTTTGATTCTTAGTGTATGAATCACATGATAGTGACTAAAGGAGGCTTAAATGCATTTGTAAGTCCCTTCCAACCCTTCAAAAGGTGGACTACCGTAGTAAAGCCATTAGTTAGTCCCCATTTTAGGGAAGAAAAAAAAACAAAATTTATAATTAGTTTGCTTTTATAACTGTGCTATTAGGCCAACTCCATCAAGCACTCATATCAATTCAATTGCTTCTTAAAAACTGTAGAAACTTTCTACTTATCTTGGTTGTATATTAGAAATATTTGAACGTGTAACCATTCGTGAAAACTCAACTTTAGGTGCATAGATTATAGACATATACTATCCAGTCAATATAAAGTTTACTTGATTAATGTAGTCTCTAACTTTTAGTTGCATAGATTGTAGACATATACTATTCAACTTTTAATAAGGTTTAAGGAGTCTGATGGTCAGTCAATCACTTGTAAAGGGCCTTCCTTGCTGTCAGGCAACTTTGGATAGCTAAACATAGTTTCAACATCTCAAATTTACAATTTTGCATGTTGTCCAATATTGTAGTGAAAAGAGTGTTGGTTTCCGCTCATGTGTTTTGGGTTTGAAACTCTCCTCCCCTAAATTATTGTAATAACTTCGAATCATCTTTCATCTCTTAACTAATAATTAAAAAAAAAAAAAAAAAAGGTAGTCCTCTAACAACTGAATGTTAGAGGACTACATTTGAGAATAATAGTCTGGTGAAATAAAAGTTAGGTTTAGAGTTTTTTTTCCATCAAAACGAGACTTTATGTGCGTTTTATTATGAAATGGAGTGACCGTATAAATTCCAATCTAGAAACCAAATTCTTGACCATAGAAGGGGGAAAAATGAAGTTAATCTTCTAATATATGGCTTCCAAAACTCTTTCTTGGTGTTCATAGTACATTGGTCTTTGAATCAAATGACCCATTGATCTTCCTTGGCAATATTGTTGTACTCCTATCCAATGGCACTATTATGGGCCTGCTAGTCTTCAGTAAAGCCCATTTCATGGCATGGGTAAATTGACTAAATAATAAGCTTTGGGCCCTTTCCGAATTAGAATAACGATTTTTGGCCCATTCGTCGATCTTGACCGCACGATCAAACGCCAAACGTTTACCCCGTTAACACACAACTTAACCCGACAAACTCTGGCAACGACAACGACCGATGCAGTTCCAAAGTGGGTCCCCCTCACCACACATTTTCCGACACGTGTCCTTGGCATCTCGGGATGTGAGTACCCTCTCTCCCAAGCAGGAAAGAAAAGAACGATGGGAAATTTTCGGAGTGGATAAATTACCTGCAGCACTGAGCTGTGGGGCGCAAATCATCCGAAATGACGGAATAGCCCTTCATCGGTGCGACGCGTACGGTGGGGAGGTGACGGAGAACGGGCGTAAGTACAAAAAAAAGGACTTTGGGGCGCGTGCGGATGATTGACGTGACAAAAGTACGATGAAAGGCTGAGGCAGGGCAGAGGCAGCACCCGCGTAAAAGTCGAGGGTTTCTGCAAAAGCGACTCCTTTAGTCGTTTGGGGCCCCTGACCAACTTTGATCACCAACCTTTTCTCTCCGGAGTAGGGTTCTCTCTTCATCAAATTTCTTTCATTTTCAATTCTTTATCATTTTAACGGTAAGTCACGTTAAAATTTAATGTTGAATTTTTAGGAAGAGAGAAAAAGAAACGTGAGAGAGGAGGTAAGAGAATTTTATTCTTTTTCTCAACCAATCTGAGTGTTGAGTTATTGTAATTTATCTAGCATACAAGAGGAACTTACGGATAACGTATTCATTATCATTGTGGCGTCTTTATATAATAATGTATCGTTTTACAAATAGTAATGCATTATTATATGAGAAAGCCACATAGTGAATTCCCTGTATACGTTTTTGCTGAGGCAAAAGCGCCACCCGTGAAGAAGAAGAGAAGAATAAGAGTGGGGGATATGTGCATGGTAGAGATTCGTGTTAGGGTTTCGGGTTTTAGGATATGCAAATTTGCAAAGGGTGAGGTTGGGGAGGGGAGGAGAGGGTGGAGACAAATGAGCAAAGAATCAAGAATGGTGGTGCTTTACTGGCTTATGTAAGGGGGTGGTGACCCACTGGATTTGTATTTGTAAAGTGTCGAAGGGTTTTTTTTTTTTTTTTGGTGGTAAAATGTGTCACATGGTTCTGCACAAGTGGAAATTGGGGTAGTTGGTGGGGATTGTGTGTATTTTGGTTTTATTGGGTGTACAAATTTGTCGACCGAATACTATTTATCGATGTGACAAAATGATCATTAATCATTTACATTTTGGGTAAATGCAGTTTAACTTAGTTTTATGTATATTGCATGAAGAAATTTTAGGAGGGAAGTGGCCATGGGTAGGGTATGTGAACTGTTTGATCGTGGTTACGAGTAGGGTGTTAAAAAAAAAAAAAAAAAAAAATATTTTGTTCTGTTTGAGGGTGAGTCAACCTAAACCAAACCAAATTAACAGTTTAATCATTTCATTTCTATTTGTTCCGAATTACAGTACTTTTTTAAAAGTGAAAACCCCGAAACAAACCGCAACTTGAATTGTTCAAGTGGTTTTTCCTAAATCCTATTCTTATCTATCGTTCGTTGTTATGGTATATACTTACAAGAACATAGGACAATACTTTTTGAAGCCCAAAAGTTTAGGAGGAGATTTGTTACTCTTACGATCAACGTCAGGACATACCTACAACCCCAAGCTGTAAGGACCTACGCCTAGCACCTAACGGTCAGCTGCCACTAGTATGAATTTATGTAGGAATTCACAGATCACGCACCAATGAGAACTGCTAACGCCTAGATTAAACTTGTATTAGGAGTTAACCACAAATATGCCTTACCAACTGAACCATCCTCGTTGGCAGAACATAGGACAATACTAATACAATAGAGTGAGAGAGAAATATTCGATGTACAAAGTACTCTAATATTCCTTCACAAATGGATGATAGTTGACTTATGTATGGTGGTGCATGCAGTTTTCATTACACTGGCCAGATTCTTGATTGAGGCTGGAGAACTCGTATGGACTGGAGTACAATCGATGAACATCGATTTTTAATGGGAACTTTAATGAAAATTTTTTGATACTATTCATTTTAACGAAAAATCACATTTTTACACTAAAAAGTCAATCATAATACTATTTACTTTACTCTTTATTTTCTTTTTATCGTTAAAACTTAAAGTGTTCAAACCATTTTCATTAGTTTTCCTATTTTTAATCACATAATTAGTTTAAGGACGGTACCATTTAAGTGGTGTGATTAGCGGCAAAGTTTAGATCATTAATTATCTCGAGAAAATAATTGTATAAAATCATTCACGTTGGTGTGATTTGTGACAAGATTAAAACCACATAATATTTTGACTAGTATGTTTGAATGTATTTTAGCTGTTATGCATGGACCATATGTGCTTTATTTTAAAGGGAACTTTAACGAAATAGAGATTATATTCACACACCCCAAATTACTTATCCTACACTCTTTTAATTTTTTAATATTTTTCTATCAAGTGTTAGTGGTGTGTAGAAAATATTAAAAAATTAAAAAGGTGTGGGAGAAGTAATTTGGTGTGTGTGAATATAATCTCTCTAACAAAAAGCTCTCAGTACTGTTCACTTTAACGAAAAACCACATTTTAACACTAAAAAATCAATCTTGGTACTATTAACTTTACCCTTTATTTTGTCCTTATCGTTAAAACTCAAAGTTTTCAAATCATTTTCATTAGTTTTCCTTATTTTAAATCCACACGTTTAAGTTTTACCAAAAAATAAAAAATAAAGAAAATCTTTTGGTTTTTAAATTATCAATTATTATACAGTGCAATTAACAATCAAGTTTGTGGAGAACGAGGATGGAACCAGATTTTTGTATGGATGGAGACTTTTTCAAATAAAAAATTTACAAATTAAAAAGTTAAAGAATTTATTAAACAAAATACTTATACATTAATTCATAAGATTTTTCATACAACATATTACAATGTTGATATGATCAATATCAACATTGTAATATTGATATGATCAATATCGTATTTAAAAAAGAGTAATATTAGGTAAATTACCTTTTTAGACTAGATTTGAAAATCATGTGATGTATCATCAATAAAGATCAAGACGTTAATCTATACATAAATTATATTTCATTCATCAACTACCACGTTATATAATTTATAAAATATTTGGTCTAAATAATTACTCTCCCAAGTATTATCTTTTTAAAAAAATTTGTCGTTAAAGTAAGAAGAATCCTAAAATGATTACCAATTATTAAACCAAAACCCAATAAAACTTAACAAATTGGAACGTGGTTGAATCTTGAACAGTTAACACGTTGAACTATTCATCTAGATGCCCTAATTATATCTGTTTGCTTGTTGAAGATTTTAATTCAATAATAAAAAAAAGAATTTAAATTATTTTATATGAGTGAAAATTAGTATTATTTTTGTGTTTTGCAAAAGAGGATAACTAATGTCGAATCAAGACTATCAACCATTTCAGGTCCGGAGGGGGCTAGTTAGAAATTTCTCCCTATTTGTGATCACAATCAAGCAAATTAACATCTTACAAAGTATCAAATCCAAAGTTCGAAGTGAAAGTTGTATTTGTTGAGTAAACTATACATGAATAGGGTTGTGATTGTTCAATTAAGCAGAAAGACTGCAACTTTTGCCTGACTCTTCAAATATACCACTATTATGAAGAGTCGCTTCTCCATCGTATAAAGACTTCGGCCTGGTTTGGTATTGCTGTGCTTTGAAAAAAAACTGCTGTAAGAATAAGCGGCTGTGCTGTGAGAATAAGCGGCTGTGAAATAAAGCAGCAGAGCGT